GACACCAAGAATTGTTGTATGCGTACGGGTTCGTAATAGTTTGAATGCACACAGAATTGATGATAGATTTATAAAATTTACTGTTACCAAAAGAAACACTACGTTTTTGGAACTTTTCACAAGAATACTTGAAAAGATTTTATCATTGTCACAGACTACAATCAGCAGTTACACTTAAAATAAGAACTTTAAACAGCAGTTACACTTACTAAGAACTTTAAACACAGTGTAATGCAAAGCGCATCTAAAAAGGATAAGCTCCTACGGAGATCTGTTAATTCTTCGAACTAACGCTAAACAACTGAGGAACTGATGCTTTCTCCGGTCTTATATAGTGTTTCCCCGGCCCCCGAGAAGTCTCTAGTACCTTTAACTTCTCGAAATTACTGGAAGGGCATGTGAAGGCCAGATGCGATTGCTGTTACATATAGGAATCAAATACATTCATTCAATCACAATACCTATTACAGTTATATAGGGACCGGACCAAAATGTCGCAAACTGAAAGCCAAGTTTTACAACTTTTGTCGATTTCTCCTTAAGTTCTGCGACAAAAATTAGTCACCAAAACGTTGCCAACCGTTGATATGTCACTAATTTAGAGAGATAGCCATTTACTCAATGTTAACTCAATTTACTGTGGGAGTAATATTGGGAATTTACGACGTTCCTCTTAAATTGAAGTCCTAATATCTACTATCTCTTATTAATTAATTATTATTTACTGATCATTATTTTTTCATTTATTCTTATTAATTGCAATAAATTGTCGATTTCTTCCTTCTCATCCAGTGTGATCATTTAAAGAAACACCCACGGACCCGTAGCTCGCAGTAATACATTCATTTAAAGAGAAACTGCTGTTACTATTTTGTAAATATTTATGTTTTTAAAGGCTCCAAATAACATAATTTTAATATATACTTAGGAGGCTTTCCATTGCCTAAAATAGTAAGGATACATTGGATTAGATTTTTAATTTTAAGCTATATCATTATCTGAGAATACAAATACATACAATATGGCATAAATGTCGCTTACGATTGTATAACTAATCATTTGATATTAATAGACGACGCAAGAGGACATTAAACTGGAAAATTCGATTTCTGAAATTTTAAACGAACATTAAAGTTCAAGGGCAATTACAGTTGATTAAGTAATGCAGCGTGGGGCAAATAAAAGCGACTCGGAGAACAGAGTTCCAGGTTGCAAAGAAGCACAGCAAAGGAAAGTAAATACAGTACTAAGTATAGAAGATGTTGAAATTGACCACCATTCATCTGTTGGCACTTTGGGGCCCTGGTTATCAAATTACTGAATTCAGATCAAACCTGGTCTGCAGAAATTTCTAAAATCTCATTTGAAATGGTCTGCTGCACTTCTTGAAGAATATGAGAGTTGTTGCGATACATGTTAGACTTGGAGGTTCCCCACAAAATGCAATCTCCCACTGACAGATCAGGTGACCTGGGTGGCCATCTAGGGCCGAGATCAGACTGACTTCTGCTAACTCTGTCAGGTTTGAGGATTGTATGAATGTGATCCAAGGGGCAGCCGGCTGTACGGGCAGTTACCCCATGCTTTTGGAAGCAACTGTAGGTCTTTTCCACCTGAGTTAATGCTGCCTCAAATGGATTAAAACTGGCGGAAATGTAACACTCCGAATTCAGCGTCTGATGAAAGAAGATGGGACCAATAATATGGCGTGCAGACACTGCACATTAAACTCCAACCTTCTGATCATGAATGGTGTTTGGTGGAAGGTATGCGGATTCTCGCCCAGAATCTGTGATTCTGTGAGTTGACATAGCCACTCAGGTGAAACCAGGTTTCATCATAAATAGAGAAAAGATCCATTTCCAAGCCATTCATTGTTATCTCAGTGAACAGCCACTCACAAAACTGGAGTCGATGAAGAGCATCTGCTGGTTTTAATGAATGAACTGCAGCCACATTTTCTGGTGTTCAGGCACGTTTGACTATTTGGTTTTTGACTTGTTCAAAACAGATCCTGTCTGACGCCATTTCCTGACTAATCGTTGCATTGCACACTTTGCTTTCACTTTGACACTGCACTAAGATCTGAACCGGTTTGGAAAACGTGATGTGTGCGTCAGAGGCGTAGCTAGAGGGGGGCAAGGGGGGCATCTGTCCCCGGGCGTAGAATCCAAGGGGTGCCAAACTGATGTTACGACATTTTAGAATTAAATGTTTTCCATCCTTGACAAGCAGTAGGGGGCGCGAAATTTTCAGTTGTCCCTGAACGCTGAAAACCCCAGCTACGACTCTGCGTGGCGTGGTAATATGCCTGTTTGCATGTCTAATCGTATCCAGTACAGGTCAGTTCGACGCCAACGGTTCGACGCCAGCGTTTCGACCCCAGCGTTTCGACGCTTTGTCAGTTCGACACGAGGTCGTTTCGACGCGGGGTCAGTTCGACGCCATACTTTTTCCTTTTGTTTGACGCCATACTTTTCGTAATTTTATTTATTTTTAGAATAAGTTTGCATCATCATTCATTGGTGTCATCATCATTTGGTGTTTCACACCCCACATTAAGGGAATTCATAGATGGTCTCAGGCGTGTTCAAAAATCAATTGATCAAGGTTATGAACAATTCTTACGTGGAGATGAACCGCAGCCCAAGCGGAATAGGTATCTGCGAGCTGATATGAGAATTAAAGTAATAATTGAAGATTTTGCAAATAGAGAAATAATGGAATACCTGAAAGGTGGGGCGCATAATTTTGCAATGGATTAGTATAATAACAGTTCTGTGATGTAATCTTATTTATCTCTAATCTTATTTATCTGTAATCTTATTTATCTGTAATTATATTTGTCTGCAATATAATATAACTACTTTGTAACCATTATTTACCATTTGTGTATTTTGCCTTTTGATGCTGTTTTGTGAAATAAATAAATAAAAAAACCCTCCATGTCCCGGGGCCTTGACGTTGGCGATGGGGCTTCTCACTAATCTGGGACACAAACAAAAATCTAGAACACTTTCACATATATACACACATATATTTATTTCAAATATGCATGCAAACAATCGCTAATTCAATAAAAAAAATCAGTCATATTACTTATTAAACTATTGACTATTATTGACTGATTTTTAAGTCATATTACTTAATAAAAATCAGTCATATTACTTCATATTTATTCTAAAAATAAATAAAAATACGAAAAAAATATGGCGTCGAACCGTCCCTGCGTCGAACTGCCCCGGTGTCGAAACGTTGGCGTCGAACCGTCGGCGTCGAAACAACCTGCTTCGAATCGTATCCGCTCGTCCGGGCCACTTTTATTACTTTCCTTTGCTGTGTTACTTTGCAACCTGGAACTCTGTTCTCCGGGCCACTTTTATTTGCCCCACCCTGTATAAGAAAACCTCGCCTCATGATCTAAATAGAATCTGTCTGAAAATAAATCAGGTGACACATTTTAAAATAAATTAACTGATATTTCGTCAAATACTGAATACGAATAAAATCAGTCTCACTCCCGTATAACAGATTCATGAGGAAAAGGCGGAAGCATTTTGGTGCAGCATAAAACAAAAAAGAAATGAAATATGTCTTGCAGTGTGTCCGTAATGAATTTAGACAGGTGAAAAATTTTTTAGGATTTTTAGTATTGGGAAAAAGAGCTGCAGAAGAATGGTAGTCTAAAAAAGAAAAACAAAATTTTTTTTTGAAAGAAATTGGCTGATATTCATGTTACCATGGAGAACATTCACACACACTCTCGAGCAGTTAATCCGTTGTCCAGAATTTGAAATCGTGTTTAGCGAATTTTATCACTCGGCTGATCGTAGACATTTCTCTGAAACTTGTAGTTCGATTCAGTTCTCTATTGCAGCTGGTTCAAAACAGATTAGTGTTCCGTGCCTTTTTTTGGGGGGGGGGGGGGGAGGGTGCCTATTTTGGGTTATACATTCATTCCACAGTTTACATATTTATTTGTACCGCGATAAAACTTTGCTCATATGAAATTTTTTTTTACAGTAAGCTGATTTCCAGTATCTTATTACATTATGTCTTAAATTTTTAAAGATTAATTCTTTCTGAGTTCTGTTTTGCTTTTCCTATTGAGTTACCATATACTCAGAACCAAAATTTATATTTTTCCATTTTTACTCTTCATTCATTATTTAACATTTTTATTGTATGAATCGATAGCTTAATGACTTTCCAAATTTTCTATGCTAGCTATGCTTCTCAAAGCTATGTTTTAAAACTTTGGTAACTGCATTGCATCTTTAAATCTTGTATTATTTATATTTTTAAAATTACTTATCTGTAAACTGCTAGCAGCTAAAATTTTTACTGTTATGCATTCCTAGATGAACTGATTCATACATTATTTACTTTCAGAAAAATTTAGAGTTCAGGCTAAGGAAATCTTCCTTGTTAGCAGAATTTCTTTCTTACTGTAACTAATATTGTTTCGAGAAAAGCCAAGATTTAAAAACTCTCAGAAAAAGTTAGAAATAAAGAAATTAATTATTTTAGCTACAAATAAGAACACCCTTACGAATCCATAAGCAAAACTTGCAAAAGACAGTAACGAAAGTGCTAAAGAAGGGCGATTTCTAATGTTAGCTTTTAGATGAATCATTTAGAAGCTGTTTTCTTCATATTTTTATTTTAGTATTTGAATATCAATGAGCCTTTTTTCAAAATATCAGCATTTTATATATTATTTCAAAACATGTTTCAAATATATTATTTCAAAACAATGAACATTCAGATATGGCCGGTGTTAGGCCTTTTTTCTTACCCGGTGCCAATTCTGCGATTCCGAAATTCTGTCTCTAAAAATTATGCCGGGCAGTTCCTTGTTAAATTCGAAAAATTCTGCCGCCCGTAGCGGCCGCACCCAGTTGGAAAAATGAATTCTATTTTCCAGAAACATGTCTGTAGGAGGAACCATATGACTACATGGAATTCGTTAAGTCATTCTAAACATTTCGAAATGTTGTGCGCGCCACCTGTGTTCCCACAGACGGTAAAGTGTAGTCTATTCTAGCTACCGGGGAAAGGTATTTTGACATTACGTTATCCTGTAAATAAAGAATGGAACTTGATGCAAATTTCGAAGTAGCTGAATCGACTATGAAGAATAAAAACTGTGATAACTTGCCTGTACCTCTGAATACCTGTTGGACATTTTGGATTGATAAGTTAGCTAAATAAATTTCTCTTCTCTGATACTCCGCTTAGTAACATGTAATAGCGGTAGTAACTAGCAGGGTTTTTTTTTTCCAGTCCTCTGCGATTGCTTTTGTTTCAGCCAAATTGGACTATATATAAAAATTTTATAACTCTTTTGTAACTTTTAATTTGTCAAAGAGTACTCATTTGATAGCTGGTGTTTCGATAAGAATAGCAGTCATTCCCGCAAATTTTGATTAGTTAACTTTGGGTGCATGTTATCACTGTTCTATAAACAAATTTTATTTTTCCTATTGTATAGCGTTCCTTCTAATATGTGATGTTTGTTTAAAAATTTTCCAACTATTCGCGCAATATTTATAGAGCATAATATTCTATTCATTATCCTAGCTTAGTGTTTCAGAAAAACGTTGTACTTAGTAACTGAAGTATTCCATTAATTATCTGTATATTTTTCATGTAGATCTTTTTTTTTCTGTTTTAAATTTTATTTTCTGTTAGCATCGAAAATTGTGAATATTCTCAATTTGGGATAAATATTCTCTTTCTTCACCAAAGAGATAATTTTTAATTAATTTTATATTACTTTAATTTTGCATGCTATAATGTAAAATGTATATTTAAGCATTTTAGAGTCCAGTTTCTACCGTATTTACTCGGAAATAAGACCCCTTCAAATAAAAGATGTCTTACATATTAGGTTAAGTTTTAAGAAATAAAATTGTAAGGTGAATATTCATTTAAAGAACGGTTCTGATTAGAATGAAAGGCAAACTACCTTATGAAGTAATGAATTTAGCAATAATATTAGACAGAAAAATTAACAACAGTTAATGGTACAATGGCTTCGAAAAGTGTTCGTACACTTACGATTTTCATTGAAATAGGGCTCTATCCATTAATTAAAAGTAAACTTTCTGAATGAGATTTTTAATAAAAATCTATAATCTATTTGTAACAAAATTACATGAAATATTTTTAAAATAAGCGAAACTTTATTTTAAAGAAATTAATAATCAAGAAATGACTAACATTTTATCTCACGAAAGTCTTCATACACTTAAAAAAAATCTTAACATATTAGTAAATATTTTCATTTTTCATTAAATTAATATTAGTAGGATATCCTTGAGCATCTACAACAGCTTTTAAACATCTGGGAATACATTTTATAAGTTTTTTTTGGTAATTTCTGTATAAATATTCATCCATTCTTCCATCATGGCTATTTGTGTTCTATGGGGTTTAAATTTGGCGACTGAGATGGTATTTTCAAAACCTGTGGACAATTATAGAGATACTACAGGTGAACGTTGAGAGCCATATACTTAGACTCGTTATCATGATTAAAAATAAAGTTATTTCCAATACCCAAATTTTGGGCTGATAATATTAAATTGTCTCTTAAAATATTTAAATTAAGAGAATGATTCATTTTGACATCAATAAATACCAAATTACATAGTCCTGATGCGGCCATGCACCCCACCTCCACCGCCATGCTTAACTGTTCCAACTAAGTTCTTAGAATGAAGTTCCTCATTTTTTTCTTCTCCATATAGTTATTTGACCATCGGAACCAAAAATGTTAAATTTGCTTTCGTCGGCAAATAGGACATTATTCCAGTACGTTTCGGGTGTATTTATCATTGATTTTGCGAATGAAAGCCAAAGCTTTCTGTTTTTCTCACTAAAAAAATTTTTTTTACGGACAGAACACCATGTAATCCAGTTTCTCTAAGAACTTGTCGAACAGTTTAAGGTGAAATTGAAACAGAAACCTTTGCATTAAATTCTGCAGAAACTTTTACAGCACTCAAATATGGGTTTTTCACAAATTTTCTAATAATAAATCTCTCATCACGTTTAGTTACTTTTCTCGGTCGACCTTTTCTTACCTTGTTTTCAATCCGATTTTCTTTTTGAAAGCGTTTTATCACATACTGCACTGTAGAATGGGATAAATAAACTAATTTAGCGATATTTTGAATTATTTAACACTACTGTGGTGAAAAATTATCAATTTTCGAATGCTGTTTGTAATTTCTTACGACTGCGACCCTTTTCAGTAATAAATAGAATATTATGAAGTAAACAATAAAAAATTAAAGCAAACAATTTTTTTAAATGCCACCACAATGCAAAAAATTAAAAAAAGCGACAAACGGTTAATTTATTTGATTTATCCAAAATATTTCAATGTATGAAGACTTTAGTGAGATAAAATGTTTATCATTTTTTGATTATTAATTTCTTTAAAATAAAGTTTCATTATATTTAAAAAATATTTCATGTAATTTTGTTATGAATAGATTATAGATCTTATTATTAAAATCTCATTCAGAAAGTTTACTTTTAATTAATGGATAGAGTCCTATTCCAATGAAAATCGTAAGTGTACGAACACTTTTGGGAGCGACTGTATATTATTACCTGCTTTTTTTCAGTCATACCAGTAATGAGTATTGTAGATGGATGTCCAAATTAAAATTGCTATGCTGGAAGTGGCTGTTTAGCAGTAGTTTTTTAGTTCTTGTGAAGGGTAATAACCTCTGTAATTTATACAGTAGTTAACCAACATAATTCCTGTATTTTATTTTTCCAATGGCAATCACTTGTCTATAATGGCATTGGCCGTTACTGAGGCCAGAAGTGGTTGCCATTTTATTCTGGGGACACCTAATAGGCAGCCGCTGTTACCTCCCATGAAGGGACAGACAATTTTACATCTATTCCTTCTCCGGGCGGGCCCTTCGTTATCGCCGTCAGGCTCTCCTAACCATTATATCGTCTGGGTGGCTAATTACTGTATGTTATATGGTTAAATTCCATCATCTCATTCTACATTTACCAAATTTTAGAAAAAATGTGTAGCCATAAAAGGGGGTCATACTGTCGAGTAAATACAGTACTATACATGAAAATTAAAATTGCTCTAAATCGGTTGGATAAATCATTTTTGAATTAAAACATTTACTTACCAGTAATAGTAAATAGGAATAATAATTTACATTGATGGCATTTTCATTAAGTTAAATGACTGTTAAAAGTCAGCCCATCATTTGACTTAATGTTTCAGGCTGCTCCTGAATCTTTAAGTAATATTTCTTTCGTATAATATTTATATGCATTCTTTTATGCATTTCCAGCCATATTTCCTTATTTATCTCATCAATGCAATTTCACAGTATTTTTAAGGTTTTAATTAATATTAATGCTGTGTTATCTCTCTCTCTTTTTTTTTTGTTTTTTGTTTTTTGTTTTTGTGTGTGTGTGTGTGTATGTTTAGGACATTTAAGGTAGTAATAGAAACTGTATGGTTAATTTGAAAGCAATTCTCAGTACTTTGCTAATCTAAAAACCATTGAATTCTTCGTCAAATAATCATTTGTATATGTGATATGTATTTGGCAATTTACTTCTTTTCAGATCTAAAGTTTTTGATTTTGTCATAAATTATTTTCTCAAATACAATATACATTTTACAAAGAAATTTATTATGTTATATGGAAATTGTTGTCTCTTTTGAATTTTTGTAAAGTTTTAGGTGATATTTTTTATTCAGTACCTTTTATTTAGTATGGTAAAAGAAATGAAATAAGATATTAACATTTGTCCCCCTTTTTCTCTCCTCCTCCAAGTCTTCTAAAAATATACACCATGGATATATATAAAATATGTAGAGAGTTTACTGTGAATTCTGGGGTTATTTTTATATAGATCTTGTGAAAAACAAGTTATATTAATTAAGCAAAATACCTACAGTACATATACTGTGCTATTCAAATCATGAAATGTGTATACGAGTCAGTTCCCCTTAGAAAGTCCTCCAAGAAGTCATCCTTCCTTAGGCAGATAGCCCTCGAGGCTTTGCCATAATCACACACACAAATCATAAAATTTTTAAAGAAGGTTATGTTCGCCAAATAAACACTTATGCTGTATATTGTAAATTACAACACGGAATTTAATTGAAATATTACTAGCCCCAAATCTTGCCACTTGTACCATCAATAATAACAATTTCCACTTATGTGATGAATTTTTAATTCAAAAAGTTATTTCGTAAAGTTGACATATTAAAAAAATTTAAAGCAAGTTTCAAGTTTATTAATAGTTTCTTCCCCCCAACCTTTCTGTAGAATTATCATTTTTACTTGTGGATTTTCCCCTTCTTTTTTGAACTTTATTGCTTGAAAATTAAGAAGGAGGGTTAATCTTTGGATTATGGTAACTTGGCGAAAATTTGGCGACCAACTCTGCTACAGCAAACTTTTACTTTTTTTTTTCCGGCGCCATTTTGTCTTCACGAAGTAAAGGCATGTTTCTTTTCTTTTTATTTACTCAACACTTTTTCCAGCAATATGCTAGCCGAATTACACTTATGCTAGAAATTTTATGGAACAAAGCTGCTTAATCTTGACAAATATTAACTGCAAAATTGGGAAAAAGTGCAGAATCGCAAACTCCTTGCCGCGTTTTTCAGAATCGCACATACACAGTAACCATGTACACGTCGACTTATTTTTACTTAAAAAAAATCCCAGAATTGCACAAAAATGGCATTGCTCACACTCTTGACTTTATCCATGTACACTGCTTTTTTCTCATAAATTAGAAAAATTTGCCGGTAAAATTTTGTGAATCTTTAAACTTGGTAAAAAGCACATTATGAAATTACCTGATCGCGAAAAAGTATATACCCTTTCCAAGGATGAACATTTCCACGTATAAAATAAACTATCCAAAAACTTTTCCCTCTAAATTATCTATTATAAATGTCACCAACGAATTTATAACGCAAACATTAAAAATGGTTGCAAATACTTAGTGTCAAATATTGAAATTATTTCCATGCACGTTTACTTCTACTGAAACGTATTCGAAATTGCTACAAACATATAATTCACAAAATAACTATCATTTAATTAAAATATAATTAAACCATGTACACGTCGACTTATTTTTCCTTAAAAAAACATCCCAGAATTGCACAAAAATGGCATTG